AGCATGTTCAGGGCAAGTCATGGTGGCTTCAGGAGGTTAGCAGTCTTCACAAAGACAAGGAGGCTAACCCTTGAGGTTAGCCTAGTGCCTGACATATTTTAAGGGTGGTTCACAAAAAACAAATTATATATACACATATACACACACTCATACAACAAACACACACACACACACACACACACATATATATATATATATATATATATATATATATATATATATATATAATAATCCTGTGTCAGATTTTTATTGCAGCTCCTGATCTCATTACAAAGAACTCCCCTTGACCATTTTCACAAGGTCAAAAATTAAGGGGAGGGCTGTGGAAATTGTGGAAATTTTCTCTGACTTCCTGTTGTGTCTCTGGGTCAGAAAATGATGGCAACACAGACAGCTATAAAAAAAACGAACAAAGGTTTTACCACTCCTACAATCTATTCGAAGATTTAGCTGCAATGGTGTCACTCTTTTCTGAGCATTTTTGAGTACAACTACAAACAGCCTTCCCAATGTACAGTGCAGTAGTAAGTTCCCTGTAGTCACCACAATAAAACTACAAAGATCAGCCACTACTGGATCATGCATACATCCTCAAGAAATTCATACAAAAGAGTATTCATCTCCTAACCAGGGTTCTGCAGGCAATGAGCAATTTCTGCCTCTAGGATAAGTAAGTCTTGATCACTGACTATTATTATTATTATACAGGATTTATATAGTGCCAACAGTTTGCTCAGCGTTTTACAATATAACGGGAGACAATACAGCAACAATACAGGAGAGATAGGAGGGCCTGATCCTGGGAGCTTACAATCTAAGAGACTACCTGCCAACATACGTCATGTGAACACAAGTCACATTCACATTGTAGTCATACAGTATGCCATCATTACTATATGCAAGAGCCTATTATTTAGAACAATCCATGATTGTTTTGTTAATAAACAAGCATCACACATGTAACAGTCCAAACAGTAAGAAAGGCCTTAATTATTTGACAGCTAGACACATCATGCCAAACTTGTATAACATACGTAAGCACCTTGTTCAATGTTAAGGAAACCCATTCAAAAGTAGTTTAAGTTGTATACCAATTATGGCACCGCTACCTCATCCAATCAGAGAATATGCTGAAATATGCAAGGTATTCTGTGAATGGTGCCTGTTGCGACCTCCTTTGGTTGCTATTGGGGTTGATTTAGGCTAGGTTCACACCTAAACATTTTGCAGAAATGCACTACAGTCCATTTAACATGATTTCCTATGGGACACATTCACATTTCACGTTTTCACCCCGTACGATTTTTGGAGAGGGTCAGGGATGTTTTTAAATGCAAAATGTTGTGTTTTGGTTTAAAAGACTTCAAAGGAGAAGCTGCACAAATGCATGTAGTATGTTTGGCATGTTTTGGTTCAAAAGACTTCAATAGAGATGCTGATGAAATGCATGTAGTGTGCTTTTGATGCGTGCTTGACACGTTTTGGTTCAAAAGACTTCAATAGAGTCACTGCAGAAATGCATGTAGTGTGTTTTTAATGCGTGGTTGACGCGTTTTGGTTCAAAAGACTTCAATAGAGTCGCTGCAGAAATGCATGTAGTATGTTTTTGATGCATGCTTGACGTGTTTTGGTTCAAAAGACTTCAATAGAGTTGCTGCAGAAATGCATGTAGTGTGTTTTTGATGCGTGGTTGACGCGTTTTGGTTCAAAAGACTTCAATAGAGTCGCTGCAGAAATGCATGTAGTGTGTTTTTGATGAGTGCTTGACGCGCTTTGGTTCAAAAGACTTCAATAGAGTTGCTGATGAAATGCATGTAGTGTGTTTTTGATGTGTAGTTGACATGTTTTGGTTCAAAAGACTTCAAAGGAGATGCCGCAGAAATGCATGTAGTGTGTTTTTGATGCGTGTTTGGCGCGTTTTGGTTCAAAAGACTTCAATAGAGATACTGTAGAAATGCATGTAGTGTGTTTTTGATGCATATTTGACACGTTTTGGTTCAAAAGACTTCAATGGAGATGCTGATGAAATGCATGTAGTGTGTTTTTGATGCGTGTTTGATGCGTTTTGGTTCAAAAGACTTCAAAGGAGACGCTGAAGAAATGCATGTAGTGTGTTTTTGATGTGTGTTTGAAGCGTTTTTAATCTGCCCAGCAACAAGTTGGTCAAAAAAAACGCATCAAAAATACATGTGCAAAAACAAAAAACGCACTGCAGAAATGGACCAAACGCAAACCTCATAGGTGTGAGCCTAGCCTTACTAAAACTTGAGAATGCAAAATCTGGCACAGCTGTGCATGGTAGCCAATCAGCTTCTAACTTCAGCTTGTTCAATTAAGCTTTGACAAAAAAAAAAAAAAGGAAGCTGATGGGTTTGCATGCAGAGCTGCACCAAATTGTGCACTCTCTAATTTAAGTAAATCTGCTCTGGGAGCTGCCAGCAAAGGACAGTGGTGATCACTTTAGCAGCCGTGACCGCTACAGTGATTCTCCACTTCCAAAGCGGTCCCACAGGTATGACATATGTATATTACATTGGTCAGAGCTGAACCAATGTAACTATGCAATACAATCTATACCTGGACTTTAAACCCCTTCCTGCCATTGCCTCCTGGACCTTTAAGAGGTTCTAAATGCTGAGAGGTGGAGGTGGGTGGGCACCACCGTGTCTGCCAATCACATCCATCACATGACTGGAAAGCTCCCAACCGCAAGTATGCATCAGGAGCATTCTGGTACCCGCCGGTGACTGTGCACATCATGACGCATATATGCAGTCACTTGGCGTTAAAGCCCACCTGCCGAGAGGCCGCATATATGTGTACTGCCAGCGGGAACGGTTTAATAAAAATTAAAAATGCAACATAGCCCCTCAAAATAAACACATATATATATATATATATATCTTTGTGTAACAGTTGATACAGCAATATATCCCCTTTGTGCTATTCCCAAACACTTTTAACCGGATCTGATTGGTAACTATTCATATTACCAAAGTTCCTCATAGTTTTGAAAAGAGGAGCCTCTTGCTAAAAAACTAAAATAAATAAATAAAATATCTTTATTAGTGCCTTTTGCAATCAGTTTAAAATTGTTATTAATCTACTTTACCGCTTGGACCTGTCAGATGTAACCCTCTGGGGAACATGTAACGCTGACCATCAGATGTAACCCTCTGGGGAACATGTAACGCTGACCATCAGATGTAACCCTCTGGGGAACATGTAACACTGACCATCAGATGTAACCCTCTGGGGAACATGTAACACTGACCATCAGATGTAACCCTCTGGGGAACATGTAACGCTGAACATCTGACCATCAGATGTAACCCTCTGGGGAACATGTAACGCTGACCATCTGACCATCAGATGTAACCCTCTGGGGAACATGTAACGCTGACCATCTGACCATCAGATGTAACCCTCTGGTGAACATGTAACGCTGACCATCTGACCATCAGATGTAACCCTCTGGTGAACATGTAACGCTGACCATCTGACCATCAGATGTAACCCTCTGGGGAACATGTAATGCTGACCATCACCCTCTGCCCTAGAACAATGTCAAAACAAGCTACTTGGGATCCCAAGAAAAGGCTTGCCTGGCTGTACAGTACTCATCATCACATAAAATAGTCAAGAACTGGCATACCACAAGTGAATCTAGTGACATGGAGCGTGCATAGGGACATCAACTACAACAGACCATCATAAACATTATCATCACTGTCAAACAAGTCAGAAAATTGCCCACTTTACTTCTGGGGAAGTTGTGAGGACTGGGGCTCTTTACCCATAAAGACCTGATAAAAAAAATCGTATTCTTTAGTTAGGAACAGACATTCCACATTAATGATTATACTACCAAAACAAGTGTGTGCTGTAAATTGCCTCCAGCATTGTTTCTTCTTGCTGGAGGCTGCAATTTTGCTGAAGCCCAGAGCCCCTGAGCAGCAGTAAATCTGTAGGCTGTCAGCAGATCAGAACAGTGCCTAAAAATAGGAAGCAACTGAGCATGTGCAGAGCAGGGTGAGACAGTGTATTACTGGATTTTAAACAGTATAGGCACTTATTCTTAATGTTTTATTTAGCTGTACCTGCAAAAGGGGCCAGACTGAAGTTATTTACCAGAAATGTATTTTCTGACTAAAGTTCCACTTTAAAAGAAATTGGTTTACTTCCAGTGGACATTCCGGATGTGGGGTTATCCCCGCTCATTCCCAGTGCCCACCTATGGACAGGACTCTCCTAGCTGGAGGTCAGCCACCCTACCCCCATATCTATGTACTGGTGTGAGGCTAGCTCCGCCCATTCCCAGTGCCCACCTATGGACAGGACTCTCCTAGTTGGAGGTCAGCCACCCTACCCCCATGTCTTGCTATGTACTGGTGTGAGGATAGCTCCGCCCATTCCCAGTGTCCACCTATGGACAGGACTCTCCTGGTTGGAGGTCAGCCATCCTACCCCCATGTCTTGCTATGTACTGGTGTGAGGATAGCTCCGCCCATTCCCAGTGCCCACCTATGGACAGGACTCTCCTAGTTGGAGGTCAGCCACCCTACCCCCATGTCTTGCTATGTACTGGTGTGAGGCTTGCTCCGCCCATTCCGTGTCCACCTATGGACAGGACATTCCAAACGTGAGGTCAGCCCCGCCTCATCTATGTACAGCACATTGCCGGTGTGGGGTTAACTCCACTTCCTTCCCTCATTGACCTATTTAAGGACATTGCAGGTGAAGGGTCAGCTCCGCCCCCTCCCTGTGGTCAGCTATGCACAGGCCACGCCTGGTGTAGGGTTAGCCCCACCCCGTCCTTGTGTCCACCTATGTACAGGACGTTCCCGGTGTAGGGTAACCCCGCCTCCTCTCAGTGTCCGGCCTGACTCTATATGGAGAGGTCAGGAGTTGGCCGGCGGACCCTTAGCATTCCTTCCATTGGGAACCCCTGAGACAAGGCGCGCACTCACTCTCTTTCTAGCTGCCTCGCTGGTACGTACACAAGAGACCAGGCGACCGCTCTCAGGCTGCCGATCAGTCCTAGTCCTTTGTCCGAGGAAGGTATCGCCAGCTGCCCATCCGCCATCCTCTTCCGCCAGGCTTCGTCTGTTCACACCGCTGTCTGTCCTTCCCCGCACACCACAATCGTCTCAATACTCCCCACTGTTCTCTCTCATCTGAGGTTTGTTGTGAGAACGAAGGAATCACCCCCTCCCTGCGTCACGGCTCAGTCATACGAAACGGGGAGGGCTCTGCCAGTCATGTGACCCAGCATGGGTGGACAGCGGCCGCCATATTGGTTATGGGCCGTTCACTACTCAGTGATTCTAGAACTACTTCCTGGATGCCATAGAAATTCCACCAGCGCAGTGTGTGAAGCATGATTATTGAGACTGAGAAGAGCTGTGCTGTGTCCAGTCCATAGAGAACAACAGACGTTTTTTGGGCAGAGTCCATCCATATGGAATAAGAGAAGTGTTGCTGTGCACCATCTATACCCACTTGTGGACCGCCTGATCGCCCTACCTGTCCTACAGCTTACCTTGCTACCTGTTTCCAGGTGTGGGGCATGCTGATGCCTGTCCACAGTGATTCTTGGCTGGGATCTGCTGTGTGCAATCACAGCCTAGAGCTGTGTGCAGAGGAAACCATCTCTCTGCAGGGATGAGAAACTAAGAGATCTGCTAGTAAAAGACAGCACACTCTACACATATTACTTCTAGTAAGGCACACATTTAACCTCTTGATCGATCGCCCTAGATGTTAACCCCTCCCAGCCAGAGTCATTAGTATAATGATAGTGTATAGTATCAGTGGTGATGTCAGTTCCAGCAGACTGGGGGGCCAGGCCCCAGGGTCAGATTGCTGCCACACTGTCATAGTTCCATTATAAGTTGCTGATCACCACCATTAGTATTAACCACTTGCCTACAGGGCACTTATACCCCCTTCCTGCCCAGGCCAATTTCCAGCTTTCAGCGCTATCACACTTTGAATGACAATTGCGCGGTCATGCAACACTGTACCCATATGACATTTTTATATTTTTGGTGACAAATAGAGATTTATTTTGGTGGTATTTAATCACCTCTGGGTTTTTTATTTTTTTCTTAAACAAACTAAAAACCACAGAAAATTTTGAAAAAAAATGTTTTTTCTTAGTTTTTGTTATAAAATTTTGTAAATTATTTTTCTCCTTCACTGATGTGCGCTAATGAGGCTGCATTGATGGGCACTGATAGGCAGCACTGATGAGGAGGCACTAATGGGCATTAACAGGCATCACTGATGGGCACTGAAAGGCAGCACTCTTATATGGCACTGACTAGCAATGATAGGTGGCACTGATGGGTGACACTGAAAGGCAGCTCAGATGGGCACTGATATGTGACATTGATGTGGCACTGGCAGGTGGCATGGATGAGCACTGACAGCTGGCATTGATGGACACTGACAGGTGGCACTGCTGGGGCTACACTGATCATCAGTGCCCTGATGATCAGCGTACATGTCCCCTCTGAGTAATGCCGATTACTGGCTCTGCTCTCCTCTCGAGCTGTCATCGTGACAGCTCGTGAGGAGAGAAATCCTGATAACCGGCATTTCCCTGTTTTACATATGATCAGCTGTGATTGGACACAACTGATCACATGACTGAGCTGACATCTTCGGCTCTTTCCATTGATTGGGGATCCGCTGTTTCCTAGAGGACACAGCGCACCACCGATCGCCGCACTGCGCGCTCCCGGAGCTGCGCATGCGTCGTTAGAATGGGACAACGTCATGTTATGTCCTCCCAGAACAAGAGAACCGCCTTGCGCCCGTCGTACTATATGGTGGGAAGTGGTTAAAAAAAATCAAGTATGTATACAATAGTTTGTAGGTGCTATAACTTTCATGCAAACGAATCCGTATACGCTGTGACAGTAGGCAGGTAAAATCATCTGGTTGTGTCCAGGATGGACGATACATTTGTCCGAGATTTATGCAGGCCATAGACAGGTCATTTATCGGCCAAATTTTCGTCCGCACGAAAAATTGGCCGATAATAATCCTGTTAGTGGGGCCACCCCGTTGACCGTTTTTCGCGGATCTCCTCATTTATTTTTATCGGTCATGCTGGAAAATACACGAAAAACATCCTATTTTCGTGGACGTGGGTGGCAGCATCGGCAATGGGGCCGGCCGATAAACGGCCCGTCTATAGCCTGCCTTAGGCTGTATGTGGATTTGTACCACTACGGGGAAGTGCTGAGCCCTGCAGCAGTGAGGTACTGAGCCCAGCTGAAGGTAGTGGGCTCATTAGGGCCTCTATAAATCTTCCCAGCCTGCTTAGGTAGTTGCTCTGTCCTGGAACCAGTTCTCTACTTGAGTACACTGGGGAGCATCATACCTGTCTGTGCGGTGAGACAAACGCCTGTGTGGCTAGCCTCCAAATTAACAGGGAGATAAGGACTGGGTGCAAGGGAAGCTTTTTGTGGCATAGTAAGTGGCCAAATTGGCAAGGATTTATTTTCATGTTTCTTTTTGTTTTAATGTTCTTTCTTATGTAAATAAACTGCACCTTTGTTTTTTCACCAACACTGCTGTTTTGCTGTGCCTGTTTTGTGTTGTGAACTCACCCAGGGGGTCACACACAACTGCTGCTGAGCAAACCCCGTTACAACACGTATTGGGATTTTTTTTTTTGTTAATCAAAAACATTATTATACAGGATTATTATTTTACATAATGACGGCTACAGAGCGGTTGTCCGGTTCTGGGAGTGTGTCATATGATGTCCTCCCAGAAAGCAATCTCTGTGATGGTAAAAAAAAATCAATCACAGCACCCTTTTACCACGTTATCAGCTGTGTCCAATGACACAGTAGATAACCGGTAAATGCAGTTGCCGGTTATCGGCTGAACTTTCCTCACGCTGTCAGAGCGCGAGGAAAGTACAGCCGATAACCGGCAGTTGTTAGAGGACGGATCGGAACCGATCATCAGGGTGCTGATGATCAGTGTCCAGCAGTACCACCCACGTGTGCCTAGTAGTGCCACCCAGCAGTGTCACCTATCAGTGCCCATTATTGTTGCATATCCGTGCCAGCTCATCAGTGCTGCCTATCTTTGCCACCTCATCAGTGCCGCCTCATCAACGCACATCAGTGAAGGAGAAAAATTACCTGTTTGCAAAATTTTATAACAGAAACAAAGAAACTTTTTTTTCAAATCTTTTGCTCTTTTTTTATTTTGTTTATAGCACAAAAAGTAAAAAAAAAACTCCCAGTGGCGATTAAATACCACCAAAAGAAAGCTCTATTTGTGTGAATAAAATAATTTCATATGGGTACAATGTTGCATAACCGCACAATTGTCATTCAAAGTGTGACAGCACTGAAAGCTGAAAATTGGCCTGGGCAGGAAGGGGGTATAAGTGCCCGGTAGGCAAGTGGTTAAAGAGAAATGCTTTTCAGGGATCATCTAAAGTGGACAGATTGGGGTAGGGCATTCCATAGGATGGGAGAAGTTTGGGAAAGTCCTGGAGGTGAGCATGCGAGGAGGTGACATGGGAACTAGAGAGCAGAAGGTCTTGGGAGCTTGTTGCTGGGGGCAGAGTTGGGGATGGCTTTGTAAGCTGCTAGTATTTTAAATTTTATTCACTGGGCGAGTGGAAGCCAGTGGAGGGATTGGTAGAGAGGGGTGGCAGAATGGTTGGTAAGGTGGATGAGCCTGACAGCAGTAGTCATAATGGACTGGAGGGGGGATAGCCTATGTAAAGGTAAGCCAATGAAGAGGGAGTTCCAGTAGTCGAGGCGAGAGATAACCAGGGAGTGAATTAGGAGCTTTGTGGTGTCATTGGTTAAAAAAAGGGGCGTATTCTGGAGATGTTGCAGAGGTTGAGGCGGCATGATTTGGACAGTTATTGGATGTGGGCCTGAAAGGATAGTTCAGAATTGAGGTTTACACCTAGCACCTTGGCATGCAGAGATGGGTTGATAGTTGTGCTTTTGATCCTCACCGAGAAATCAGAGGAAGAGGCACGTGGGGGAGGAAATATGAGCTTAGTTTTGGTTAGGTTGAGTTTTAGGAAGTGGTGTGACATCCAGTCTGATATATCTGTTAGTAAATCGGTGATAAGTGAGGAAACTGATGGGGTGAGCTGAGAAGTAGAGAGATAGATTTGTGTGTCATCAGCATAGAAATGGTATTGGAAACCATGGGAAGCTATTAGCTGACCAAAGAAGTGTAGATCGAGAATAGGAGAGGTCCAAGGACAGAATCTTGTGGGACCCTGACGGTAAAAGGAGTAGGAAGTAGAGTTGTAAGTGACACTGAAGGTGTGGTGAGATGGGTAAGAGTCTAACCAACAGGGAGTACAGTCACGGAGGCCAAGTAAATAGATTTTTTTGAGGAGGAAGGGGTGGTCAACTGTGTCAAAGGCAGCGGAGAGGTCCAAGAGTAAGAGTACGGAATAGTGACCATTGGTTTTAGCAATTAGTAAGTCATTTGTGAGTTTTAGGAGAGCAGTTTCTGTGGAGTGTTGTGGGCAGAATCCAGACTGAAGGGGATTCAGAAGGTTATTCTCAATAAGGTGGCAGCTCAGCCGGTTGTAGAATAGACGTTCAAGGAGTTTGGAGGCAAAAGGGAGTAAGGAGATGGGTCTTAGGTTGCTAAGGTTGGTGGGGACCAGTGTGGCCTTTTTAAGTATGGGGGTGACTAGTTCATGTTTTAGAGAGTTGGGGAAGATGCCAGTAGAAAGGGAGAGATCGAAGATATGAGTTAAAGAGTGAAGAATAGAGTCAGAGGGTGACTGTAGTATTTGCGAGGGAACAGGGTCCATTTAACAGGCAGCATAACACACTTTGGCCAAAAATTATTTCATTTATATTGCGAAAAATAAAAAACCCAGTGGTGATCAAATACCTCTAAAAGAAAGCTCTATTTGTGTGAAAAAAATGATAAATTGCATGTGAGTACAATATTGCATGACCACGCAATTACCTGTTAAAGTAGCGCAGCACCAAATAGCAAAAAATGGCCTGTCATGGAGGGGGTAAAATCTTCCGGATACATATACACAGGTGAAACTTGAAAAATTAG